CTTGAGATAAACATTGCGTTTGAGGAAACTGAAGGATGAGAAAGAGAAATATGTGTTTATTGTACCACTTGAGTCTCTGACTTTCTAGCACATTGGGCTCCTCTCTGGCCCAGGCTCCATCTTGTACAGTGCTCCTTGCTTCTTTTGTTACGTGAAATATCATTAATATATTGCCCGTGATGAATAACCATTCAGCTCAGTATTTACCCGTGGAATTCGGCCACATTTTCCACGGAACTGTAACTGCAGGTAAGCCGATTGGTCCCTGTAGCCTTTGTTGGTCAACTTAGGTCTAATTCGAGTGGCGCTATTTATTACTACCGTCGACCACATAGTTGTTCCAGCACCTGTCCCTCAAAACCGTGACAGGAACCTTCTACTCAAAAAAAATATTAAAAATTGATAGCAATGGAAACTGCGTGCGCGGGAAAAAGTCTCAAAAAACCTGCAGGCCTAGCCAGTCGAGGCCTAGACACCGGGACCACATGAGGTGCGTACATTCATCTATATCTCCCTTCTTTGTAACATTAGAGTCCAACTTGATCCAATCCACAATCTTCATATCTGGTGCTGGGTACGAACCGGAAACTCGACGGATAGCTTTTCCTCCATGATCAAGGGTGGGTGATGAGTAGGGCTCCGACCCTACCATCTGATCCGATCGTGGTTAGTTTCACGATAATGGTGATAGGGGGATGTGCTTAGGGATGAAGAAGACACAGACTGCGAAAGTGATTGAGAATCCTCATCGAAGTGAGAACTTTGTTACTCAATCTCGGCTCTGTAGACTCTACAGTGAGAGCTGGAGTTTTGTAGAGGACACCACCGACAAGTATTGAGAATAGTCCTCCCGAGAGGTGGGCAGAGACTATATGATAACGTACGCGTACCACATGTACGCATGTCATCTTACCTAGGGTCAGGTTGAAGCGAGGCCAAAACTAAACGTGATAATATAAATATGAATTACGTAATGATAAAAATTTAGATGTGAAACTATTGAGACCAAAAGCTCACAATAAGTTTAGAATAGCGCAGAGTCCAATTAGACAGCTAAGAAGGCTCTTACTAGAATGTTTCTTCTTATGTGTTAGAAATGAGGTATTATTGAATTGATTAATTTAACGTATCAGGCTATAGCTCTATATCCAGGAGGCTTGACACTGGTACATGCTTCTGAAGGAATCAGTGTCATCACTAATGCTGCATTTATCTGGCCAGAAATTTATATGATTGAAATCAAAAACATCAAGGAAAATTTTTGGCTGCCCTGACTCGAAGTCCTATGCCTGATCAGCTTTCTTATAGCAGTTAATCTGCAATACGTGTTTTCCAGACATCATTTGATCCTCCAGTCTAGCCATGTTTAGCATAGCATCTCGTCACGGTTAGAAATCGATTAAATTTCCCTAACCCATCCTCTTCTGACTGTGCCCATTCACTGGGGGCTGTTTCATGTGTTGAACTTCGCCTTTGTTGTAATGCTCACATGCATTCCGAGAAATTCCACGGACGTCTTTCTTGACAACATGCGCGTCTACAGGCTATTCCCTTGTGATGAAATCTCTCATGATAATTAGTGATGTTTCCGTGACTAGCTCTAGCTGCTAACAGATGATGATACGCTTATCTTGGTAGAGGCGATTCTGGTGCATTTTTTCGGTTCATCAATAGGACCAAGTCTTTGTATCCACTGGGTCTGTTCTCTTGCCCCTAAGACTCAACTATCTTCTCCGCGCATTCTATAACGCAGCAGGTTAGAATTGCGAAAGCTTATCTTTAACTACAGTTTGACCTCGATACATCAATAGCGCTGGAGAGAGCTGGAAGGTGTTTCAAAGCTGATTTAGCCAGTTTATCGACATAGGAATTCCCGATTATCCTAGAATGGCTTGGGATCCATTGCATATCTACTGACCTATTTAGTCGTTGTAGAGTTGTGCATTGGTTGACAATAGCATGAGGCAACTTGCCTCGACAGGTTTTAAGCGGTAGACGGCTTTAGAATTATCGAGAAGTATCTTGATAGGGCCATCTCCTACCAATGTTACGGCAGCTACTATGGCTTTCTGGGCTCGCAGAAGTTCCGCATCGTACACTTCAGCTCCTAGCCTTATATCTGAACCGCTTCCAATCAGACTTGTTCCATTAAATAAGACGTAGCCCTAGGCATATCTCCCAGGCCCGTCTAATGAGCCATCTGAATATGCACATATTGGCCCCGAGGAAAAATTATCTATTCATTTCCTTGCTGTAACGGCTTGTAAGCCGGTAATTGCCTGTAGCCTGCGCTGTCTAACGCAGGCTTAGCATGAAACTAGGCAGGGACTATTCTTGAAAGCAGGGTCTTACAACTTGGCAAACACCTCCAAGAATAGGGCACGAGAAGAGATACGGATGTACGGATAGAAAACTGTGTCATTGGCCTGGATAATAATCATGTATAAAGTAACTGTTATTATCTGTTACGGGATTAATCCCTTGTGTTTGTACTGTCTGCGCCAGTACGGTAGGGATGGAATATAGGGCCCAGCCAGCTATGAGAGCTAGCAATGTTGCGGTCTGGATATGATTGCTTAGCAACATTGATTGTTATGATCGGCGCTGAAAATTACAATTCCCTATGTATACAGCGAGAAGTAGGAATTCTTCTTTCTCTAGACATCATTAATTAACTGATTTATTCTGGACTTGCTCTGCTATATACCAACACCAATTGATCCGGCGACATTATCCTCTTCAATCTGTAGTTCACCATAGATTGAAAATAAATTACCTCTGACCATAAGGTTGCTCAAGTGCCTATGCTTAGACTGTGACACTTGCATAATCTGCTACTTTCTACCTGTCGAGCCCAATCCGTTCCTGGTTGGTAAGTTCTTCAAGTATGGCAAATTTACAGGACCTTCAGCGATCAGTACACTTAGAGCACTGTTCTGGAGTCGTGTAACATAGCGTTCTGGAACAGTAACCGGTTGGACTTTCTGGCCTACTCAGAGTACCAGTCATTGTCGAATAGTAGGACACAAGTTTTATTTGGATGTGCATTAAACAAGGATGCTGGAGTTTGGGTGGTAATAATGATTATGAAGATGTAGTAACAAATGGGTAATAACTAGTAGTAGCTGTGTAAGCATAGGTCATGTGACGAGTGTTCAAGGTCATCAAGGCCCTGGCGCTCCCTCACAAATGAAGATAGATACGAATGAATGAAACAATAGTTATTGAGTTACCGCAAACAAAGAATCCACAGGAAATATTCCGACAGTCATCTTAAGAAATCTTGTGGTACTTCTCTAGATTTTAGAGCTAGCGGATGCCAAATATCTAGTTTTTCAAAGTGCGCTGCTCCACGGAGTTGTCTTTGCTCCAGGGAGATAGCTGCCGGTGAGATGGCTGAATCTTTCCGTAAACCTGAATTTGGACTTGTGCTCCAAGCTAGCAGTGCCGCTTTGACAGCCCTAAGGATTATCTTGTCCGGTAGATCCATATACCTGCCAACTCTTGTGCCTAATTTCCTGTCTTGCTGTGTGGTTTGGGAGATAGGCCTGGCCACCATGCCTCCGCTCCATACAGTGCTACACTGAGTACACAGGCGTGAAAAGCTTTGATAATGGATCCAGGTGCTATACTTCGCTGAACAGTGTTGATGCGACGGATAAACTGTGTTATGCCCTGCGCTTACCCGTACCACTCTTGATTATGCTGGCCAGTAAGTCTTGATGTGTTCAATTTTTCCCCTGTACCTCCACATATTATCAAGAGTTATTACTTGGCCAAGTCAAGTTCTCTCCATACTCTAAAAATCCTTCAAGTGTTGGATATCTGTATGTCTATATACATTGATTCCTCCTTACTCCTCAACGCTAGTAGATTTGCTGCTGAGGTCGCGGGCTGTGACCGTGCGATTTCCTGTGCGTGAGGTCATAGGATAATTACGATTACGTGTGTGCCGTGTTTCCTATATCTGGCTAACTCGTGCCCTGTAGATCTATCCGGGACTCACAGAAGTATCTATCATCCTATCTGAGAATAATGATTCTATTTGTAGCTGCAGCTCAGCAGTGAGCCAAGAACTTCTGCGATCACAGCATTCTTTCAAGTGACTATTTAAGTGAAATTGTTTTTAGAATATGATTCCTAAAGACGTGTGATACAATAGTGCTGGAAGTAGAACTGATAAAGTAAAGGGTTAACAGAGCGTGTATATCTCACGGCACGCGCAGCATCAATTCATACTGCGACTATGCTCCTACTAATGTGTCTACCAGCCTAGTCTACACGCTAACAAGGGACAAATAATACAGGGTATATAAAGTCTCTAAATGCCTTACCCTAGCGTTTCTTACATAACATTTGTTGTAATTAAGGGAGTAACATGACTGCATTACAATAAACTGTTCACATTAGAATAATGTGCACATGCGCCATGGGATATGATTGACCTAAATCATCACTCATTGGTATGACATAGTATTTCCCAATAGATTCCTAATGGTATCTATTGGCGCTAGGATCTCTCACATCCTTCCTTTCTCAGTTAGACAAGGACAGATGTTGGAACATCCACTAGTGTGCAGAACCCCCTTATTCATGTATATAGAAGAAGGTCCTGTCACGCAGATAAATTAAGCAATTCATACAATAGGAAATTCAAACAATTTCCATATTATTTACACACTTGAGAATACTAGGGAATATCCTCAAGTTCGTCCATTGATCCAAGTCCTAAGAGTATAACTCACGAACTTTACTTCTCTTAAAGCCATAGCTACCTCCTTCCATACCTTCATCCTAACGGTACGTCATTCCAGCTCAGCATAGCCTTTCAATAACACTTACCACAACCTGACTCCATTATGTTGAGGGTATGAGAATGATTATGTTTGACCAAGGCTTAAGTTATTTAACAATTATGTACATTAATCGAAGTCACGTGAGTATCAACAACGTGGCCTACTTAAAAGCCACAATTGTTCAAGATTTTACATACTGTTCTACTATGTACTCGAAATACTTTTACCGCCCATCAATTGCCGAAAAACTTGCAATGATAACTCAGGTGTGTAATACGGAACTTCGTGGCCAGCACCATAAACACGTAGCCAGCTCAAATTGTCGACTGTCTTGTATTTACCAGCAGGTTTCCCATCAACAGTGTAGTCCGCCTCCTCTTTGCTCTTAAACTCCGCAGCACCTGAGAACTCAATGGACTCGGTGGCAGCTAAAACTCCAAACCAATTGCAAATCCAATCAGCATCGCCCGCCCATATAAGAGTCGTCAAGTTAGATTGCACTAAATTCGAGAGCGTAGGGATAAATGAACGGGGGACAATAGATGTGTTAGAATCGTTCTGTAAGATTTAAGGAGAGAATCACTTACTATCGCCAGAGTTTGAGAATTTATCGTAGACATCATCAGAGTTTGCCATAAATGATCTCTTGGCACCTATTGCACTCGTGACAGCTGGAGAATTGAGATACGTGACAAATGTGCTGGGTGGATTAGGGTCGTTGCTAGGAGCTCGTATGTCATACACGTTGAAATCCTCAGAATTGTTTAGTGGTCTCACTATAGAATTGAGGCATACTGTATGGGCGTTGCTACAAGCTGCATCTCCGCTAACAGTATCGTTGCATCCTTTTAGAGCTGGGAGGCAACGAGTGTTGTATGCGTCGAGATAGTTGTCGTACTGGGTCTTCGTTATAAGGGGTCTGTAAGTATTGTTGTAGGAAAAGTCAATATATGCTTTATTCTGGATTGTAGCGTCGATCCAACCGTTATTTATTCCCATTGCTTTGAGATTTATCACTTCTCCCGCAAGAGTACCAGATGCAATGGCTGCATTCTGGCTTTGGATGTAGGACGCGAACTCCGGCCCATAGTGACCGCCGTACGACTCTGTAAATATCCCAAAATCCCGGTTTTCATACTCCGGAAACTTGGCGTAGAATGCCTGCAAAAGATTCCAGACTAGAGGTGCCGCGCTTACAGTCGAGTTCACGGGATTGTTCCCATAACTGAATCCAACCCCGATCGGCTGGTCAACTATGTATATTGTCAATTTTCATGTCTATCGCTCTCGCTTTCGCTGTTGCAAATGATTTACGCACTGTAGAGCATATTGGCGTATTCATTCCAGCTGTATGGGTTGAGAGATGGCTCACTAGCCCCGTTGACAAAATGACACGGCCCATTCTCCTGGAAAAGGCCAACCATGGACGAGCAGCCAGGACCTGTACTTGAAGCTTAGTCGCGTTGCTACTTTAATACACAATACACGATACAAAGTGCACAGTGCACAGTAAGCGTATAAGGTCCGGCGGGATGAATTTAGCCAGATTTGTGTTACATACCACCATTAAACCAAGCTGCTAGAGGAGCAGACGAGGCATTCCTTCGAGCTTCGAAAAACCAGAACCACATATTTTCATCGGCTTGTTTTAGTTAGCTAGTTTGGGTAATAGTAATGGGAGAGGTAATTTTTGTTTGCTCACTGCCGACAGATAGATAGCCAGAATACTGATTAACGCCGGGAGTCGTCTCGCAAATACCAGAGTTCGTCACAAAATCAATTTGAGCCCCCGTCGACTCATGCTGAAAGATAGAACGGCTCCCTCTGTTTCCCTCATACGGAACCTCTTTACAGGTCGTATGACCGGATTGATATCTTGCTCGAAGAAGAGATGTGAGAGACAGAACAATGAATAGTGTAGCCCGCATGTTGAACATGGTCGCGAATTATAATACTAACTGTAGCCTCGATTTTCGGCTCGGGATAGACTCTTCGCGGCCCGGCGGCAGGACGATGGGCAGTAAGTCTCTTTAAGCATGATGACTAACAGTATGATTTTCTTTTTTGGTTAGATAATTCAACTTGTATTCAATTATCTAGCTATGCCATATGATCAGTTGCTTGCATACTTGTTGTAAGATTCTCTTGCCTATAGAGGCACTCATATTCCGGATTTCATTGGCAAATACCACCATAAGTTGTGTTTGCTAACACGAACGATTCTCCTCTGTGACTGTTCTCATCCCGGATTACGAGAAAATGATTCAAAGTTATCATAGATGAATAAATCAAATATGGTTAGTTTCTTTCTTGTAAGTTCTAGAGGTCCTCCGTAATCATAGACTCAGATAGGTCTGTAATAATATTTCATCTAAGTGTAGTCCTACGTGTGTGTTGAACAAGATTGTGTTCGGGTTTGGTCACATGTTTAGATGCCTAAGGCTATAAAATTGTTTACAAGTCTCTCTTGCATTCCATCCGAATCAGAGGCTGGACCGATTAGTATGCCTTTCCTTAGCTACTGATCATAAGTGATCAATTGAATCTTATTTATGATAGTTTTTCACAATAAGTACCCACCAGTGGAAAGTTCAAAATCTTTGATTGTCCAAGCAGCCTTCATCATCCATACACGCCAGCACTGCGAGAAACGTGATCTGAGGTTTCACCTCACCAATTGAGGCAGGTGCCCAGGCTACTCAAACTATACCCAGGATGTATTTGAAAAGGATATAGAGAGTATTGTAGACGTACGGGCCCTCCATGTCGTCTAGGTTCCCAACAGTATCTTGTGTATCGTTAAAAGGTCGGAATGAGTAGTAAGGTAGCGCCTCAGACTAGCCAATACATTAGCGGCTGTATGGCGTGGGCAAAAGGAGGTAATTGGGGTTTTCTATGACTAGATGGCGCTGTAATCGTCTATGCTAGCTAGTAAAGTCGAATTCTTCACCTTCCAGTGGTGCCGTTGTAATAGCTCAGTATGCTCTGCATATCTGGGATAGCTAAGAAGAGTCGCATCCGAAACAAAGTCGAAAGTAAACATAGACACATCTATAATCGGTGACTTCTCATCAATGAAGGTCTTGTCAATCTCACGAGAGTCCTCTACATTTACCTCTCCATACACCACCTCGCCTCAACGACCGATAAAGGCGTTACTCCAATTACAAACAGGAGCTTGTGTCAGTAGTTATCGACCATCACCTACTACAAATTTAAGACGCTACGTATACCCGCAAGGAGGAAATCAAGTCAAAATATACAAAGTTGGGGTCTTGGTTTATGTGGGACTACCGCTCTAATGGGGTTATACATCTTGAGGAAAGACAGGCGACTGGGGCGTGAAAAGAGATAAGAGGCCTGTTTTTTTTATATAATTTTTAAGTCCTAAGCTATGCTCAATATCTCCTAGGAGTCAAGGACCAGTGCACACGGCCAAGATCATGCTTCCCACATGCCCGACTCGGTCTCACCGCGTGACTCACTACACAACAGGTAGCTAGTTATAATAAAAAAAATAAATGCCCCCACAAACTCCCATAACCAGAATTCCAAATCCCATACTCCTGTTTGTGGTTGGAAAATGACACTTCTCGTCTCATTTTCCTGTCCGTCATGCTTCGTGGTATGATCTAGTTACTACCGTCTACGCTGAGAGCTGGGGACGGAGTCACAGGTGGGCCCCCGAAGCAGCCGGTTTCCTGCGCAAATTTTTTAAAGTGTTCGAGGCACTTAGGCCCGAGAAGGTTGTAGGTAAAGTCGTGATGTGACATTGTCCCTCGTAGTCGACGCGTCTGGCGTACGTGCAGTCGACAGTGAATGAAGTGGAGAGGTGATGTTTCCTCTCCACACGCACTGTTACGGGCTAGGCTCGGCTGGGTTCTAGCTGGGCTGTTTAAGGCTATAGGGCCCATCCTTAACTTGAAGGCTCAAGCGAGTTTGTAAATCTTCTCACTATACGGGAGTATTATCAGATCACGTGTAAAGGGCAAGGGTATCTGGAACAGGCATTGTAGTTATAAAGCCATAGCTTCCCGCTCGTAATTTCCTCATAGAAAATATAAACATTTAATTGTGGCATTGCTTTCGTGCATTGGCCGAAAGTCCTAGCCCGTCACACGCACACTCCATTGAAGCGGCGAAGTTGTTGCAGTGGCGATGACATGCCACGAAGTTTCCGTGGCCCGTACGGGCTGAGATCAGTTCACGGAATAGCCGCCGGGAAAGTGTCTGCTCGCGTGGCTTGCGTTGTCGTATGAAAAGAGCCAGATTTCGATACCTAGGTGGACATACTTCTTCCCACCAGTTGTGGAGAAGCGCTTGATGTTTCCGGTTCATGAGCTGACGAACGTACGCCATTGTGACGGAGCTAGGCTGGCTGTCTTTGCTTGGCAGTTGTTGGAGGCCGGTGCGTGCAGCTCTATCTGCATCTTCGTTTCTCTGTATCCCGGAGTGGGCCAGTATCCACTTCACCGAGACTAGAGCCTTTTTTGATAGCGCCCTAAATTGGCGTATGTCGTCGAGGCTTGTTGTGGCAATTCCCGTCAGCAGCGCTTTCACTGCAGACTGACTATCCGTGAATACATTGATCGGCTGCCTACCGTCTCTTCCCCCGTTCTCCCTCTCTGACAATCCCAGAGCAGGCTTCCAGGGCCTTCCTCGCCCCTAGTATTTCGGCATCAAGCACTTCACCGCCATGCTTGATGCCATATCCCTTCAACAGAGTTTTTCCATCCCTCTTCAAGACGAACCCCCATGCTGAGCGACCATTCCCCTCCGAAGAGGCCTGTTGTGGGTTTGGTTTGTTCAATAACGTGCTAGGTAAAGTGATTCCCGTTGCACTCCTACTGGAGCTTAAGCACGGGTGGAGCTGGGCTGGATCAGGTTAACTACCGAAAAGTACATGTACCTTGTCCCGCCTTAATGACCGGACCACCTCAGACTTCACCCATGTGTTGAATCATGTCAAGCCAAAACGTCCAGAGTACCCCCTTTTGACGCGCCGAAGCGCACATTCCCCCTCAGCCTCGGCCACCAAGCGCCCGAGCCCTGGACACCTTCTCCAATTGTAACTTTTTCCCTCCATTCAGTCCCAGCTTTGGCTCATCTCATCCAGGGGTCGTTTTCTTCACTGGAGGCCTCATCCAGTCGCCCACCAAGGCCTCCTCAGTTTGGATTCCCTTTTTATTCCTTAATGCAGCATCCCTCTGTCCTTCAGCCAATCTCGTCATCCCAGAAACTTTGTAGAATGTCCACCCCTCCGGCCTTGCCCCGTCGCTGCCGTACCCCTAACCGTGGAGGTCGAAAACCCGACTGAGAGCTCAAGACCGAGGCACCGGTGCCCCTGCCTTTGTCGAACGCTCTAGCTGGTGTGCCGGCGAAATGTTGTACGTATTTCGTCAGTGGCGATTCGTCGCAGGCTGAGTTGTTGGCGCCCTTGGCCGAGGTGAGGACGCATTTAAGGCCGGTACTTCGAACTTACCTCCACAGCGACTGGCAGTTGCGGAGGGTCAGACTTCCTCTTGCTTCTTTGTTGTCGATTTGACCTTTTGGAGGTGTGGAGTTGCTTCGGTAGGTGGTGAGATGATTTTGGAGAGGGCCGCGAGATGAGTTTAGCTAGGAATGATTTTCCAGAGAAATAGAAAAAATATATTGAAGGTGTTGGTTGTTGTAATCGAACATCAGACAAGCTATAGGCTGTCTGCGGTTCGTATCTGGGGTGTAGATGGTTGATTTCGTTGAGTTGTGCAGTCGTGAAATCTCTGCAAGTCGGATTTGCGACCAAAAATGAGCCAACGCCACTCCTCCCGAACGCCAACTCGACGAAACTCTCAAATCCACCCTTTGTCGTGACTGAATCTCGGCTCTGGGAGAATATTTCACTCCCAGGTTCGTAGAGGACACCACTGACCGGAGATCGGCCTTCGTCCTCCGATAATTCTCTGGGCACCCTAGAGTGGGTCATTACTTTGGACTAAACCTAATCAGTTTAATGATCGGCTGCATAACATTTGTGCATTTTTGCTACTTGACTTTATAACTTACTTACAAGAGTTCAAAGGTTTTCAAATTACAAAATAGAGCCAGTCTTATCCTAACCTTAGATCTGAACATGTGGCTGGAATATTATCAGGCCTTAATATCTGGTTGGTCTCCCATCCGCATCTATCACAGCCTAACAGCTTGCTGGCATACTCTCAATGATTCTCACAAGATCTTCGGAAGACACGGAATCCCATGCCTCCTTTACAATGTTGCGAAGACTATCTGAAGTACGCTGTTTCCGCCACCCAGATTCAGATGATGACAATGGATGTAATCCTTCATCTTTTCCCAACAGCTTTAATCGGGTTAAGATCAGGCGAATTGGCTGGCCAGAAGATCGGTTGAATGAGCCTCTGCCATATTTCTTCCGTTCTACTTGCTGCTGCGTGAGTATGGGCATTGTTCTGCATTACGGAGATCCAGGGTCGAATCTAGACCATGCCATGGTTAAGAGGAACTATTTTCTCGCAATATTTTTGGAAGTTAATAGATCCCCACTCCTTCTCCCAAAATAAATAGTGGCCTTTTTCCGGCCCTGCGAAGCAACCCCAGAACATCCATCCGACCCTCTCCGAATTTCTTCCAACACAATCAGCATTGTGTTCTTAAGAAGTCTAGTTCATGATGTTAGAGCATCAAATTACCATCTTCTTATAGAGGAATGTACGAACACTTCTTGTCACCCATTCTCTAGAATTTTTTCTACCCTCTACCCAAGTTTCGTCTGTCCATAAAATGACGTCCAGTCTTCATATGTCCAATTGAGATGATCTTCGGCCCATTCCCTGCATGTCTTCATATTTTTTTGAGATACTGGAGACTTTAAACGAGCTACATGTCATTGATATCCTCTTTTTTTATGTTCTCTTGGTATTACTCACTCGCCAACTCC